TTCATTTTAAAGAAAAGACGGTGAGAGAGAGAGAGAGAGAGAGAGAGATCAGCAGCTGCTGGTTTAATTCCCCCTCTAACAGAGAGCTCTGCCTCTGACTCTTTGACAGCCACCGTAACTCAAACACTCTCTGAGTATCAATGGAGTTAAAGTCCTTATGAGGAGTATTATGAGGAGTATTACGAGGAGTATTATGAGGAGTATTATGAGGAGTATTATGAGGAGTATTATGAGGAGTATTATCTGGTATTAACTATATATAATATTTTAATTTTCTAACAAAATCGACTTAGAGGAGCTTCTTTGGCCCCCTAGTGGTGAAGAATCACAATGGAAACAGTTTTTTTTTTCTTGGAGCAGTGGCAGTAACTGGTCCTTCAGGGGGGTGTAGGGGGGGTCAACCACAGGATACCTGTAGATTAATCACAATTAATCGTGACTAATCAAAACAGTGCAGGTCATTCTGACTAAAATAGTCTGAAAATTTAATTTAAAAAAATTAATTAAGGCGATTAACAAGTAAATTACCGTCCGAATTAAAATACAAACTCTGGAACTTTCTGCTCCAGACTGACAATTTAGAGGAAGACGTTTTACAGAAGATGTTTTTTTTTTTGGGGTCTTCTGTTTCAAACCAGTGTGATTTTTTTTTCGTTATCCTGCAGATTATTTACAACTTAAACTGAAACGTCTTTGTTGTTTTTTTTTCATCCTCATTTTGCACCTGACCCTCTGTCTTCATGTACGTCTGGAGACCGACCTGCTGAGATTCATGTGACTCAATGACACTGGTTGTCAACCTAAGGTTCAACAGCTTGAACCGGGGACGTCCGTCCACCGACTGACGCTGCGTCGTCGCGTCGTTCTGTAATAAAAACGAAGTCATAAAACCTCGGAGTGGAAACGAGTCCATGATGCACTGCAGCGCACTAACTCTGGAGTGCAGCAAAATCACAGTCTCTAAAGGGCACAGCAATTAACGTCGGAGGACCATAATTTATAACAGCCCTTTCTGGTTCGGCCAATCAGCAGAGGGAGAACCGAGGACCGGGATTCAGAAGTTACGGTAACAGTCCAGACCACGCTGTGACCTTTTTTTTATCATTTGAAATAAATAAATAAATAAATAAACAGCGTAAATAAATAAATAAACAGTGTTTTCCTGGGTTCACGTTTGGTTCTGCCTTTTGTCGATGAGTTACATTTTCTACAGCGGACGAGAACACGCTGTTTCTCACGCGCTCAGTCGAAGAACGACGACACGTCAGTTGGCACGAAACCAGGAACCAGAACCAGGGAAACACGACTGAAACCTTCTGTTGAATCATGACTAGAAAAATGTTTTGTTTTTTTTACAGGATATTAAAAAACTAGGGATTTTTCATCTCCGATACCGATACTACAATTTGGAGTATCGACCAATACCGATATCAATCCAATACCTTTGATACCTTTTCTCCTTTATATATATATATATATATATGTATATATATATGTATATATATATACATATATATATATATATATATATACATATATATGTATATATATATATATATATATATGTATATATATATGTATATATATATATATATATATATACATATATATATATATATATATATACATATATATGTATATATATATATATATATATATGTATATATATATGTATATATATATGTATATATATATATATATATATATGTATATATATATATATATATATATACATATATATGTATATATATATATATATATATATGTATATATATATGTATATATATATGTATATATATATGTATATATATATGTATATATATATACATATATATATATATATATATATACATATATATGTATATATATATATATATATATATATGTACTGTATATATAAATAATATATATAATAATAATATATTGGACCACAGTTGTTTTTTTTTACGACATTTGATCCTGAAATTTTGACCAATATCAAACAGATATCGAGCCGTCCTGATTTAAAACCGTCCTTTTTATCTTTACGTTTTTTTTTTTTTTTAACCAAACTATTATATTTGACGAACTCATTAACAGTTGACCTTTGACCTGATCTTCATCAGGTCAAAGGTTTTCCAGAACATGATAGGAAGAGCCACAACTTCTAGATAAATCAGAAAAGCCTTAATAGGAAGCGCCCTCCAGTGGCCAGAGTTTAAAACAACTGACCCTTCATCACCCACACACAAAACAGACGTGTGGACAAGTGAGACCACAGGGGGCAGTCTCTCACACACACTGCAGACAATAACACCTTTCAGAGATTCTTACGATCTTATCGGGCGGCGGCGTGCTGGCGATGTAACACTTGATCTCCCCTCTCTCCCCTCTGACGGCGTACTGGACCGAATCACTGGAGATGATGGGGGGGCCTGAGGAGGAGAGAGAGAGAGAGAGAGAGAGAGAGAGAGAGAGACTTTACAAAGATGGAGAGCAGCAGGGGGACGACAGAAGTCAAACTGAGGTCTTTGACTTTTAAAGGCTGGACAAAAACAACAACGTTATTAAAAGATGAACTCCTGTGGAAACAGTCCAAACACTCAGGCACCACGGGACTCGAACCAGCGCCCTGACACCAGACCTCTTCTTTAGCAAACATTAATATTGTATATCCACCGACCGTCTCTTCGACTCGCTCCTGTAAATATTCTACCGACAGCTCCTTCTGTGGGAGTCCTGGTTCCTGGAACTGTTGCTAAAATGGACCAATTAACCTGAACCAACACCGGGTCAGACTGATCCAATTAAACACTTCTCTCTTTGGACCGGGTTTGGAGCCAACGCCATCAGATTTGTTTTCCTTTTCACAAACTGAAGTTCATTAAAAAAACATTTTTCATTTAGTCTAGAAATTTGAGCACACGATTTACAGAGACGTCTGAAGTGGCAGAAAAATACTTGAGGGAGGTGCAGGTCACGGCTGTTTTAACTAGCTAGCATCGTTCCACCTTCTCAATTAAAAACAGAATGCGCCCTCCCCCAACCATCTGCAGTAACGGTACAGGCTAGCTAGCTTAACCGGACACAGCAGAACGCTGCGTTTAAACGGAGGACGACGTTCCAACTAAGTCTTCAGCCAAAGTGGACCAACGCGGAGACAGACACCTGGACATGATGGAGTCTTAGTTAACAGGCAGATTCTACCAGACATGTTACAAATTAGGCAATTGCCTGAGGGCCTGGAGCAGCAACCCCCCCCTCTCTCACCCCCCCTCTTTAACCC